TGACATCTACTTTAAGGTCATTTACAAAATATGTAGGATGAGAAAAACACAAATGCTTGCTTGACACAAACACTACCAGATTCCACATATGTGAGCTACTCCAAATTTAGCCCTATATTGGAATTTCACACATTTATCAACATTTTCACAATTGTGCCAGGTAAACTGACAACTAAAACTTATATAACAAATCAATATCTTATTTTCCAGCAAATGCAAAGTTGATTTTTTAAAAACTGATCTTTTTTAGGTTGCTTGCTCTTAGACAAATCTAAGAAATCAACTCTGCATTTTTAATACCATATAAATTGAAATATAATTCTTATTACTTATAAGGCTCACCTTTTCTAAAGTTTTAGTAGTAAAAAAAGTAACTAAGAACTCCTGGTGAGAATTTTAGTAAGAGTTATGATTTACTTATACTCAAGTTTGATATAAAAATTTAGAAGTACTTTGTTGATCAGATCTGAGGTTTAAAATCTCAGATTGGAAAAAAAAAACAATTTCCCCAAACACTTTTGGCATGGAGGACTTCTGGCTCAAATTTGAGTTATTTTCTGATCCTATGTTAGTTTCCACTTCATTTAGCACAAATATAAGTCTTGTTTCAGAAACACTTTAGAGAAAAAGCAAGGGAAAAATGTCTTCACCATAAAGACCCAATGCTACGCGCTCTTTCTAGACAAGTGTGGTGTCCGAGGCCCTCATCGAAAGAAGGCATGTGCTCTCTGCTTTAGCAAAGACAACGTCTGTGAGTTATTTCCTAACTTGATCTATTGATTAAAGGAGGCACCAATGAGATAAAGAACAGAGTTTCTCCCCTCGCAAAGTTAACTGGTCTCTATGAAGACGATATCTGACTTTATCAGCACAGTGCCCCAAGGACAAGTTAACAGTATCCAAAATGAGTGACATTCTGCCAACTCCCACTTCCACAGCTGATTCTAACACAATGCACTTACTTAGCCTAATGCAAAAGAGCTACATATCATATGAGGGGTTTCATGGTTGCTTCTGCCCACCTGAGAAAAGTGCAATGACCCCCTACCTCCCAATTCCTTCAAATTCTAGGAACCCTGAACACAAGAGAATCCCTTTGGTTTCAGGAATGACTTTCTGTCCCTGAGTCAGATAAGTAGCTGTGCCAGAAGAAAGTATGGCCACTATCTTTCCCTCTAAATAAGATACCTTCACAACCAGTGCTCCCTGGGGTTCATCAAGGAAAACTGTGCTGCTAAAAGCCAACAAAGAAACTCAAAACACTCCCTGGGCAGATCCTTCTCTTCCAGTGATTTTGATATTGTTCCTTTGGAATGTTCACTAGAAAGAACTTTTCCTTTTCTAACAGTACCATTACGACTATTAATAAAATTTCCTATAGTAGCCTCCCCAAGTCAATATTCCTGTTGTTACTGTTCAAATGATCAATTTAATACTTTTTAAAGCTACACAATATAAAAATTAGGCAGACTTCAAGACTAATAGAATGTACACTGGAGACATAATACATTTCAAATGTGGAATAAAAAAAGACCTCTATGGAATAAAAATGAATACTAGCAGCAATACGGGAGGAGCAGGAAGGGAGCAGATAGTAGACTTTCTGGGAAGAGCAACATTAACTGAAGTATCTTGGTAGAAAGATAGCTCGAAGTTATACTGTGGGCTAATCTTTAGTGAGAACAGGCCCTTGGAGCACAAGTTTCTCTCTTTCCTAATATTTTTTTCATTTTTAATGCTAAAACATCAGATAAGAGCCTACCTGACATTTTGGAGAATTTGCTGTGCTGGGATTGATATTCCGCATTGCCTATGAGTGAAAAATAAGATGGATAAAAATTACTTCAAGCCACACGGTTTGGCTATGTAGGCCGACTTACAAATTGTATCCAGACATATCACCATAGCACAGAATTCCCAAGCTAGCCCGAAGCAGCAGACTGAGGAAGACAGGAGCCAATGGAGTCACCACACAACAACTGAAACCTCTCAAGCATTGCACAGCATTGAGGACAGGACAGCAAGACTAGGTGTCAGGACCCAAATCAGGTTTGCTATTGGTCAGGTAGGTTCTTTGCTTCTGAGTATTAGGTGAAGCAGGAAAAATATAATTTGATGTTTTAGTGATAAGAGAAACTGTCGATGGAAGAAGTTCACAGAAAGCCAAAAGACTTAAGACATACGTTATTTATGCCAATTGCTAAAAAACAAAAACACCCTAAAAATACAGACTATTAGTATAAGAATAGAGCAGTTCTGTCATTTCAATGCAAGAAAAGACAACGCAGTTGGAAGTAAAGAAGAAAGAGAGCAAGAAATTACCTTCCAAGGAAATGAAGCTATTCTGTCAGGACCCCATCACCCAGAGTAAAAGTGAAAATAGAAAAATTCCTTGGAAGGAAGCGTTTTACAAGGAGCAGCATTTTGCCCACTAAAATACCACCAAAAAGACACCAAAAACAAGCCAGGCTGGTCTATAGCATACAACAAAATGACGAATAGCCCATTTCTAGACTCTTATATATAAAAATTATAAACAGTAAAACTTTGACATAAGTAATTAAATCACTTTCTTAACAAGATTCCTTGGTTTTCAGAGTCTTCCATTCATATGTGAAACTAAGACTTGTATTTACTTAGACCATCTAGTACTCAGTAACAACAAAATAAAAAGCAAGCATGGAAAACAGGCTGTGTAAAGGGTACTCTTAAATTGCTTTATTTCTCCTAAGAGCTACATGCTGGCTCTCCCTTGTTCTGATGATAAATGTTACTTAAACGAGAAATCTTTCCTTTAGAGTAATTTGTTAGTCGTTAGAGACAGAGTAAACGGGTTAATATGCTTCCTGTCCCCACCTTCTTAATGGCAGCTGAAGAAATATTTCTTGCAAGACCACTTCCTGACACCGCCTGCTGGCACAGACTCTCCTACCCTCTCGGGCCCACCTTGGTGCCAGCCACACACTATCATTACACCGAGAGATTACTGACAGCACAAACAGTTTAAAGGTGAGCCTGTCTGGGATTTCATGGCTTATTTTAATTCCTCAGCTTCCAGGTCCTCAAATCCCAAATCAGAGTTCAATTTAGTTCATTCATTTCCATTAACACTCCAGTGACACTTTTTAAATATAGCCCTCATTACAAAAAAAAGTCCCTTGTTTAAACGCCCACTTCCTGGTAAGACATGTAGAGTATTATTTTTTAATATCTGTACTTAGCATGCTATGATGTAGGTGGGGGAGGGGGAGTATGGACACATGCATTTAATGTTTATAAACAGATAAGAGTGTCTCTGAAAACACACACACACCCACACAAACAAGAAACTGACAGCTTTTACCGTTTATACACTTATTTTTATTACCCCCAAAATTTATATAAAACTTAAAAAATAAACTGCTTTGATAAGATCACACCCCCATTATCTAGACTTTATCCCTCTCAATCAAGATAAAGTAAAAATTGATTTTTAGATGAGGGATTATCCATTCTTATGGAACATAAAGACCAACAGTACTTTCTGCAAGAAAACTGATGGAAAGGTCATAAAGGATTTTAAGATCTCTAATGTCCTTTCCTTCCCAACATTAAACAACAACAACAACAAAACCCCAAAGCAGGTCATTTTTACGGAATTTTGGCACCTTCCAAACTTAGGATAACGTGTGTTATGTTTTAAAGGTCTTAGATTGAGCAATACTGATAGTTGTCATATGAAAAATATACTGGAGTCTTTCCCCAGGTAAAATAATTCATTTAAAGTAAAAGATGTTTTTCCCTAAGTGATGTCCCAGAGTTTCCCCGTTAGTGAATGTTCAGAATAGTAATTTGCAGAAGCACAGTAATCTACAATTCCATGTACATGTGAAGAAGCACCCTTGCTTCCTTCAATTTTTGCGTGGCTGCAATGACCATGGCCCAAACCTCTCTTTGTGATACAGTTTTACATGTTACAGTCCATGTGATCAAAGCCCAGTCAAGAAACTAAACTAAGACAAGGACAGAGCTGGATAGAGTGTTTCTGTGTCACTCTAGTTTTAGAGAAACATTCCTCTAACTAATAAATGAAATATATCCAACTTCATTTTGAAAACAGATCCCAAAAAGTGGAAGGCTGGTTTCTAACCTGTGGCCTCACCTGCCGAAGCAGTTCTTGCTGCTTCAGTCGCAGTCTCTCTTTCTCCATCTGCAGTTGCTGCAGCCGCATCTGTTGCTGCTGGTTGGAGTTGCCGCCACCCAGGACTCCTCCCTGAGGGCTCTGGGGAGCCAGCGGTGGTGGCTGTTTCACTGGAGCACTTTGACTGATTCTCTGGTTCATGGCTGAAATGAAACAAAAGATGCGTCCTAAAAGACTAGCAAAGGAAAGAGGTATTTAGTTATTCAAAGCAAATGGGAATATTAGTCTTTTTCTGTAGTAAATCTGGAAATAACCTAAAAACCCATCAGTAGTGAAATGGTTATGTTGATTTATTACTACTGTTAGTCGTGTTGTTACAAGCTGCATGGCAGCCACAGAGAAAAGACACAAGGGGCAGCTCCAATGGGCAATGAATGACAAGGAACAGTCTAGGACACATGAATTTAAAAGCAAAGTGCAGAGCAGAGAGTACAAAAAAAGGGGGGAAATGTACACTACATGCCTATCCAGAGAATATGAATTGAACAGCAGCCAAGAAACAACCAGTACACGTTGGCTCTGGATCTGGGAAACTGTGTGACTAAAGGACTGAGTAGAAAGAGAGACATTTTCTGTAACTTTTTGAAGTTTGAATGGTATGCATGCATTGCTTATTACAAAATAGAAATACATATTTAATTAAAAAATACATCTCCCACGCTGGCCAGGTAGCTCAGTTGGTTAGAGCATCTTCCATATATGCCAAGGTTGTGGGTTCGATTCTTGGTCAGGGCACATACAAGAAACTAATGAATGCATAAAAAGTGGAACAACAAACCAACGGTTTCCTCTCTCAAATCAGTTAAAAAAAATCAAAAATCAAAAAACCATAAACATCGCCCAAAGCAAGTGAGACAAAACATTCTGAGCAGTAAAGCCCATCAAAATTATCCTTGCCCCATGTGGAGTGTTGTCCCATACACCACAAAGGTTGCAGGTTCAACCCTTGGTGAGGGCACATACAGAAGGCAACTGATGTTTCTCTCTCTCTCTCCCTTCCTCTCTGTCAAAAATCAATAAACAGCTTTTCTGGCGGTGACAACCTCCCCACGACAACATGCCTCTCGCCAAGGATCTCCTCCACCCCTCCCCAGAAGAGGAGAAGAGGAAGCACAAGAAGCGCTTGGTGCAGAGCCCCAATTCCTACTTCATGGATGTGAAGTGCCCAGGAAGCTATAAAATCACCACCGTCTTTAGCCATGCACAAACGGTAGTTGTGTGCATTGGTTGCTCCACTGTTCTCTGTCAGCCAACAGGAGGAAAAGCAAGGCTTACAGAAGGATGCTCCTTCAGAAGGAAGTAGCACTAAAAGCACCTCAAATCAAGATGAGTGGGAAACCATCCCAATAAACACATTTTGGATGTAAAAAAAAATCAATAAACATATCCTCGAGTGAGGATTAAAAAATATTATCAATCTGTAATATATCCTAAAATATATAACTACTAGAGGCCTGATGCACGAAATTCGTACAAGAAGTTCGGCTCTCGCAGCCCCGGCTTCATCTGGGAGGTCGTCTGGAAGGATGTCTGGAAGGATGTCTGGAAGGTTATTTGGCTGCCTGGTCTAATTAGCATATTATAGACTATATAAAACCCTAATATGCAAATAGACCGAATGGTGGAATGATGGGTTGCTATGACACTCACTGACCACCAGGGGGCAGACGCTCAATGTAGGAGCTGCTCCAGCCCCCGACCAGCAGCAGTGGGGGGGGGGGGGGGGCGGTCAAAGCGGGTGCGAGCAGGGGCCCTGATCACCCCACCGGTCATCCCACAGATCGGCCCTGATCACCAGCCAGGCCTAGGGACCCTACCCGTGCATGAATTTCATGCACCGGATCTCTAGTACACCTATAATAAAGTATATTACAATGATCTGATGCATGCTAAAAATAAAATAAGCCTACAAACATCTGGGTGGCGGAGATCTGTCTCATTCAACACCATGAAACCCCCAATACAGCCCAGGTAGTCACTATTTTTTCAGTTGAACCTACATTACACCATCTAACAATAAGAAATGGACTGGATTCTTATGCTAGTGAATTTCAGTCACTGATACAACCACACTGTGAATTGTGGTAATCTCGGTAAGCAGATGGAAGTTTTATTATGTGAAAATGTTAAGAATGATGTATCACCTTTTCAGACATTCAAATTAAACTTGTTTTAAAAAAAATCTTTATTGTTGAGAGTATTACAGATGTCCCTCTTTCTTCCCCCATAGTCTACCTCCACCTGGTTTCCGCCTCACCCTAGGCATTCACTGCCCTATTATCTGTGTCCATTGGTAATGCACATATGCCTAAGACCTTTGGTTAATCTCTTCCTGGCCCCTTTCCCTTTGAGACTTGTCAGTCTGTTCCATATTTCCATGCCTCTGATTCTTTTATTTATCAGTTTATTTTGTTCATTATACTTTTTGTTTATTTTAATTTTTAGGTTCAATTGCTGATTGAGAGATATGTATTTATTGTCATTTTATTGTTCATATTTTTAAAAAATATATTTTATTGATTTCAGAGAAGGGGGTAGAGAGAGAGAGAGAGAGAGAGAGAGAGAGAAACATCAATGATGAGAGAGAATCATTGATCGGCTGCCTCCTGCATGCCCCCTACTGGGAATCGAACCTGGGACCCTTCAGTCCGCAGGCTGACGTTCTATCCACAGAGCAAAACCAGCTAGGGATATATATATCAATCATTTTCTTCTTCTTCTTCCTCTTCTTAAAGAATACCCTTCAACATTTCATATAATACTGATTTGGTGATGAATTTCTTTAGCTTTTTCTTGTCTGTGAAGCTCTTTATCTGATCTTCCATTCTAAATGAGAGCTTTGCTGGGTAGAGTAATCTTGGTTATAGGTCCTTGCTTTTCATCACTTTGAATATTTCTTGCCACTCCCTTCTGGCCTGCAAAGTTTCTGTTGAGAAATCAGCTGGTCATATGGGTGCTCTTTGTAGATGACTAACAGCTTTTCTCTTGCTGCTTTTAAGATTCTTTGTCTTTAACCCTTGGCATTTTAATTATGATGTGTCTTGGTATGGGTCTTTTTGGGTTTCTCTTGTTTGGGACTCTCTATGCTTCCTGCACCTGTAAGTCTATTTCTTTCACCAGGTAGGGGAAGTTTTCTGTCATTTCTTCAAATTATCCCCATAATTCTAATGTTGGTACACTTGAAGTTGTCCCAGAGGCTCCTTACACTATCTTCATATTTTTGGATTCTTTTTTCTTTTTGCTCTTCTGATTGGGTGTTTTTTGCTTCCTCATATAACCGATCATTTATTTGAGTCTTGGAATCCTCTACTCTATTACTGAATTCCTGTAAATTATTCTTTATTTCAGTTCCACAGAAGCCACTTGGTAAACACTAAGTCTTCCTCCTCAGTCTTTCCCAGAGTCCGTTATGAACAATAAGAACTGTCTTACCTCAGGACTTTTCCATTTGACATTTCTCACAGGACTGTAATTTTTTATTTACAAATTTGTATACACTCTCTTAGACTGGAGTGCCACAGGAGTGGGGAGATAATCACATATATATCCTTAGTGCCTAGCACAGGGTCTGGCACAAAGTTTGTGCTAAAAAAAACCATTAAAACGTTCCTAAGTTGAGTATTCACTGAGGCAGAAATTTAACTATTTAAGATACAACAATACAGAAATCCTACCCATTTCCCTTTAGACTGACCAACTCTTCTGAGTCCAGCAAGACATAAGTAAGAACCAAGGATACTAGAAGAAAAATGATAGAGCAACCTCCCTCAGATGCCTTAGTTAAAATTCAACCTACTGATTCATAAAGTTTCCAATTTTTTTGAGTCATTTTTTTGTCCTTCAGATATTTCTTTTGGTGTAAATAGTAAGATCACCGTGGTTAAAAGTCACTTGAAATAATTCCTCTCTGCGTGACTCAGCCAACAACTCTATATATGGTTCACTTGTGAGTTTGCTTTTGAATTTTAGAGACTTATTCTACTTCCCACCCACCATCCTCCTATCGCCAAGAGATAACTGTTACCATTTTGCTTATTAAATAGAAAAGGGCGAAGTGGAGTCAAGTATTCATAGGATACTAACATATATCTAAGAAGTTGCTATGTGTTTGCTTAGATTTTAAAGAATAGAATAATGTATACGTGAGTTCACTCCAAAACAATATATAGAGGTTTTTCCCATTTTCTTTTTTAAATAGTTGATTAGTATTCCACTCAACCAATTCTCTATTATGTCTTCACTATTACTAAAGAGTACCATACAGAAGAAGCTCAGACATACATACTTTTGTATTTCTACTACTGTATCTTTGGGGTAGAGTCCTAGATTGGAGAGATTGCTGAGTCACTGGTTAAAAACATAAGTAACATTGCCAAGTCATCCCCCATTCCCCGTACTCATAGGGGTTGTACTTTGTTGTAGCTCAATAAGTAATATATGAAGAGTATCTTCTTATCCATCACAGTCTTGGATTTTTACCATTCTGAAAGATGAGAAATGGTTTCACAGTATTTTGCTTTGTCTTATTATAGAAGCTTGGTCACTTTCCACATTTTAAAGGGCCACTTGAATTTTTATATGAATTAACTTTTCCTTTTTTAGACAACCTTTATATACTAGGGATAAAAAACCAAAAACACCTTTGTCATATGTAAGTAAAAACTAATTTCCCTCAGCTTATTATATCTTTTTAGTTTGCTTATTTTTTCCATAAGTTTATTTTTTAAGTTGTCAAATTCATCAATATATTTTGAAATTTGAGCTATAGTCTCTCCACTCCCAGGTGAATGAGGAATTCATCAATCTTTAAATTAAAAACTATATGGTTCCACTTTATCAATTTCATTCTTTGGCAATTCAATCTATTTTGGAATTAGACCATATGAAGGGGCCTAATGTATCTTTCTTCATGACTATCCATTAGTTCTGACACCACTCATGGAAAGTATATCCTTCCACCAATCATCTTTAACAGTTAAATCTCCTTAGTTATTTTGTTTTTGGATTTCCTATCTTACTCTTTATGTGTGTTACTCTTATATTAGGCACAACACTTTTAATTACAACTTTTATGTTTTAATAGCTGATAGGGCAAGCCATTTTTTTTAAAGCTAACTTACTATTGGGATCTAATTTAAGTGCATGTGGTTAAAATAAAATGGTCTGTATACTGATTCTCGAAATTCGTGACCTGACATGTGGTCCTTGCTTTTGTACTAGGCTAGGGCCAGTGGGTTCTACACAGGGTTTCTGTCCCTCCTCCTTTGTTCTTAACTCTGAGTTCCTGATATCCGCAGGACCCGACTGGCCCCTACACCTGGCAGGCCCCTAGCCCCGCCCTTGCTTACTGCTGCTCTGTGTAGTTTCATTTTCTGACCTACAGAGATTGTGACCCAGTTATGTCTTTTTGGTTATCTCTTTCAAATATTTTGTCTGGCAGAGCAGAGAAAGATGTCAAAATATGACAGACATACTGCTCCATACTATCAAAGCCTTAATTAATTTTTTATGTGGAAAAAAGGCCAGACTTATTTATGAAATGTCTTTACAAAGAACTAATTGCTAAAACTTTCATAACTATGGTTTATAGTTTAGTATTTTATAGGGGAATACATGGGAAAAAGGCCCCCAAAAATTGAGAGCTAACATTTGTCAGGCACCAATCAATAATCTCATTTAATACAATTGCTTGTATCTATCTACCTGTCACCAACATTAGATGCACAACTGACAGGCATCATAGTATGATATAAAAAACACAGCCTGTAGAGGCAACAAACCACAACTAGAATTGAGTACACCAATTTAGTAATTCATCTAATTTTTGGTTTCCTCAACTGCAGGGGTGGGCAAAAGTAGGCTTACAGTTGTGAATATGCAAAGCAGAGTCTATTCTTGTATTATTTAATTACTGAATAATTTTTCCTGTTGAATAATTTTCCATAAACCTATTTTTGCCAACCCTTGGATAGCTGGGGATATTAACATTTCCCCTTTGGAGTCATTTTGGGGATTAAGTAATATATGTAAGGCATCCTATATAACAAAAGACTAATATGCAAATCGACTTAACGGCAGAATGACTGGTTGCTACGATGCACACTGACCACCGGGGGCACTCAATGCAGGAACTGCCCCCTGGTGGTCAGTGTGCTCCCACAGGGGGAGCGCTGCTCATCCAGAAGCTGGGCTCACGGCTGGCGAGTACAGCGGCAGTGGCAGAAGCCTCCCCACCTCCTTGGGAGTGCTAGGAATGTCCGACTGCCAGCTTAGGCCCACTCCCTTCGACTGCTGGGGAGAGAGCCTAAGCTGCCAGTCGGACATCCCACGAGGGCTCCTGGACTGCGAGAAGGCACAGACCGG